CAAAGTTAGTTTGGTGGCAAATAAAGAATTTCATTTACCCTGCCTCATTAAAAAAGTCTATGACTCAAAATTGAGGAACATAAGTAAAAGTATTTGAGTCACAGTTAAGATGTTGAAGTAATTTGGGCTAATTCTTTTAGCTTTTTTAAGGAGTCATTTAAGTGAAAAATAAAAGTTGTATACCTACTATCGTTGAGTCGTACTCATGACCCTGTAGAGGGGTCTCTAAGACTATAAATCTTTACCGGAGCCAACAGCCTCATCTTTCTTCTGTGGAGTGGCTAGTAGGTTTGAACTACCGATCTTGCAGTACAGTGTCTATCCTACAGCACCACCAGGGCTGCTTAAGTGGTATATAAAAAGACGCAATTTCTGATCTTTTAAAAAGTTTCCCTTAGGAGCTCTGGTATTGTAGCGGTTACAAATCGGGCTGCTAACCTCAGGGTCAGCAGTTCGAAACTACCAGCTGTTCCGCGGGAAAAAGATGAGGCTTTCTGCTCCTGTAATGATTTACAGCCTTGGAAACCACCCTGTACAGGATCGCTATGAGTCGGAACCAACTCCACGGCACATAACAACAACATAAATTTTCCCATAGAGAAAATTCTATAATAACTCTTCAGAATCTGTTGCAGTAAATTAATGGGGGTTTGTTTTTCATATAACAGATCAGCAGAGAAGATTTTTTCTGTTTAGTGTTATATTCTAACCATCAGTATTTACTATTACCATAAGTGATATAAACAGTGTATAATACCATTTGGTTTGTAAATAACCCTTTCTAGATTTCATGGTAAAGAAAGCATATCAAAATCATCATAATCTGTGACAAAGTATTTCTTTTTACCTGATTCTTCCCTACACTCTTGGTGACCCCTGTGGTGTTCTTATGGATTTTGTCCGTAGTGGCAGTTCTCCCTTTGTTGTAATCACAGGTTAAAGAGCTCTGGCCAAGTGTGTCAGGTGTTATTCAGATGGAAGAAAGGTAGTTTATTACAGAGTTGAACGCTTTTTACCTGCCCAGCCAAAAGAGACGGGGGAAAATGGAGGATAAAATTGCTGAGCATTTCTTTGGCAAGAGTTAGAATTTTCCACTACCACTTGCCCGCAGGCCATTGACGTGCCCATCAGGGAAATAATACTGGATGTGATCATTGGAACAGGACTACCTGCTTCTGATGCACAGAACCCTCTGAAATTCATGGAAGCCTGGGGACAAAGGAAAATGATTCTTCATTATTAATGGATCTTCCACTGCCTTAGACAATCTGCTTCCTAATAGACTGCATCCTAAATTGAATCTATTCCAAAGCAAAAGCATGGAGCAGAGAGCCACTCACAGGTTAAATGAAGAGTCTTTTATTAATTGAGGGTGATCAGACAAGACTTAATGCTTCTCCCTCACCTTAATGTCTCATCAAATGGGAAGATGGGTCAGTTAAGATGATGTGACCACCAGCTGGCTCAGAGAACACCAGAACCTGGCAGGTTGCTAAACTCAGTTTGAATTCATGCATTAGAACCTTTCAACTAAAATGTTAAGCGCCATCAAGTCATTTCTGACTCATAGCAACCTGAATAGGGTTTCCAAGGAGCAACTGGTGAGTTTGAACCGCCGACCTTGCAGTTCAAACTGACAGTTGTAGTCCAGGGCTTATCATACAGCACCATAGCAGTTTCTAATTGAAACAAATTTGAATGTGATACTTTGAAGTATAGATAGTACATCCCTCACATGTTGTGAAACTTAACAAACATCAGGTTGTAGAGACTACTGTAAAATATTTATGTCACAGTTGAAAGAAAAGTTGAGAGCTTGAGACGAGTTTTTAATTTTCAGGTCATTTGAAATTTGTGTCCTTACTGAATTTCTGGCCAAAATCAAATGTGTAAGGCCAAGAAACATTCTTCACATACGTATGATGAGCCTTGAGTACTAGAGTTGTTGTTTCTTTCTAAGGTCAGTACAAATAGAATTTCTGGTGCAGTATATGCACAGTATTGGTTCTACTTTAGAGCAATAATATGTTGGCTGTGTCACCCTGGCAAATTTAACCTATGTATTATTTAAATTTTTCCTGTCAATTTCAAGTCCGAGCTTCCAATGAAACACAGTTAAGTAAATACGAACGCGTGGCTTCTGTACCATTTTGCAGTCCATTGTCATTGTGAGTGTTAGATTTGAGATGTTGTTAAGTCGAACTGGTTCTGACTGGTAGCGACCCTGTATAGGGTTTCCGAGGAGCAGCTGGTAAGTTTGAACTGCCAACCTTGTGATTGAAAGCAGCTTTAAAGCCAAGTGTTTATCCTTCGGCATTACACCAGGACTTCAGATTTGGAGTAGCCAATTGTGTTTGTGTAGAAAAAAAAAAGGATTTAACTGCCAGTGTAAAATCAAATATTATGCTGTTTTAGAATTGCCTCCTGTGTACTCATCTGTCAAAGTGAAATGTACCAGTGTTTGTATATTATAGGCACCTACCTCTACAGCACACTAGACAGAAGTTTTGTCTTCTGCTCCTGTATGATAGTGACATCAACTGCTGCAGACATGCACGGTGCATTTTCACTTAATTTTTCCATTAAGGGTCACGGTCATCATTGAGTTCAGGCTGTGTTCTTTTCAAGTTCAAGGACAGGTAGGATCAGTTTACTTCTGACAAGCAGAAACAACAGAGAATAAAGGTTTTCCTTTAATTTGGCTTTGTGTTTTTGTTTTGATGGCATTGAGATCTGACTACTGAAGGTCACTCATTAAAGTTTATCATTGCTTTTTCTTCTGTAATCATATGTTAAAAGTGCTCCCTTCTAAAGGTGTGGGCAAAATTCTACTCAAATGGAAGATTGCAGTTGGTCTGTCTGAATATTGCTGTTTGTTGCATAAGCATTTCCAGTAGGAATTTCACCTTAACTTAATGTGTCCCTGCAGTCAGCCATGAGACTGAACTCTGTCTCCTGGGCTTAGTTAGGTGTTGCCTTGTGGTCACGTTGCCTACGTAGGTGACAGGCTTGTTTCAGGAACTCAAGGTAGCTCTGAAGGAAACAAAACTGAAGATTTAACAAGTGAAGTAAATCGTCTTAGAATGCCATTTTACCGCAGTGCATGTAAGGATTATAATGTGGATGATTTGTAATTTTAAAGTACCATCTGATTGCTGTCAGGTCTGACAGTGAGTGTTGGAAAGGTAAACGTAAATGTTTGGTAACTAAAGGAGGGGAGCGGCTGATTTTGCAGACTAGGAGTGGAGAAAAGTGAGGGGTAGAGAGGCCAAGGCCATGACGTAGACAGAAGGGGCGTGATTGAGGACTTGGGACTCAGGGAGAGAAGAGAGGTTATGTGCTGGCGGCCGCGGGGCAGGAGTGTGGGGTGTACCCTTTAGGTGTTTGGTGCATTCAGGGAATTGTGATCATTGCAATGAAAAAAATACAATAGGATGATAGTAAAAATAATGTTCATCCATGTAAACTAACACACAATTCACAGTTAAAAAAATATATAACCATCTGAAAAACTCTTACTTATTCTAATACTTATCTGTGTTGCATAAGACTTCTAAAACTCATAGAGTTGCCTTTCAGAAAGACAGGGTAGGGTGTTGTAAGCTTATTTTCAACATTCAGTTGCTGTGGCTCAGTGCACACCCATTCAGCAGTGCTGGACACTGATGCTGAGTACCAGTGAAAATTGCCTTTATCTGCTAACTAAGACTTCGTGGTGGCATCTTTAAGCAGATCAAGGAAAGGGCACAGAAGTGAGCCCTTCAAGATCTGTGAAAGGAACTGTTTGGCTCAGTGATGAGGTTTTACTATAAGAGGTTCATTAATTTATTCTCTAAATTAAAAGGTACCACTCTCATGTCACCCGTGTGTGACACTTGTTTAGAGTTTTACTTTTTAGTATGAATTAACAAAAATGTGCTTTGAATAACCACACTGCATGAGCATATCTAAAGAATAAATGCTGCAATTTGTAGATTTAAAAATTGTACCTGTGCAGCTTAGATAAATATTTCCAGATTGCCCTCTAGAGTGTGTACAAGTTGCCTTCATACTCAACAACTGACACTGCGTGGCCGTGAAGTCTGGGAGCCCAGGTGTATTAAGAGATGCTGAATGGGCTGCTTCTATTGTCCTATTCGAGTTACGGTGTGGTGCTGTAGATAGAATAAGTTCTCGACCATAAGATCAGTTTGAACTGCAAGGTCAGCAGTACAAACTCATCAACCACTCCTCAGAAACCCTATACAGGGTCACTATGAGTCAGAACCAACTCAAAGGCATTTAACAAATTGTTCTATTGGTGTACTCGGTGACATGTCCAGAGTTTGTGCATTGGTCCCTGTCACAGTTTCCATTCATCTCTGCACACACACCTGATGGGGCGTGTGCTTCTGGTTGTTTTATTGACAGAACTGCCCAGTGTACAGAATTTGTGATTACTGTGGTCTGTGCCTCCTTGTCAACCTAGTGTATGTTCTCAGTTTAATAGGTAAACAGTGATTCTGTGTTATTGTGTGTTGTAGCATCTCTCTCAAAACTGGTATTAAAAGATTCGTTTGCTTCCTGTTAATAATTTGGGAGCGTGGTGGCTAAAAATAGTAATTTGGGAGAATGGCAGCTTTGTAGGATAAACACTGGACTGCTGCTAACCACAGGGTCGGCAGTTTGAGCCCACCAGAATGAAAGCTCATTGGCCTGTGTGTTATTTCAACTTTTTTTTTTTGCTGTATACACAAATGTGGACAGCCAAGAGATACTCTTCACATATGTATTCATGTATGTGTTTCTCTATAAAGAAACCAACCACTCCAGCTTTAAGAGCTGGAGTGGTTGGTTTCTTTATAAAGCCAGTAAAAAACAGGGTTTTTAGTGCAGCTTATGTATAATATTGGTCCCACTTTAGATCCGTAGCTAATATGTCTGCTGTGTTACCCTGGAAACCAATTTAACCTGAGTTGCCAAACTTGCTTATTTTAGCTGCCTTTTTCCCCCCCAACTAGTTGGTGACAAAGTTCCAGCTGATATTAGACTGACATCCATCAAATCTACAACTCTCCGAGTAGACCAGTCAATTCTCACAGGTAATTAGCTGTGTGTTTACTTTTATTAAAAGCTTGTAAATCCCTTCATGAGCAGAGGTAGTTGAGGTGCTGCTCCCTTTCTGTTGTGGGCAGTGTGTTGAGTGACTTAGTGTCACTCCTCCAGGACATTATAGGTTCCAGGGCTGAATTGTTTTTCTTTGGAGAAATAGTTAACCTCACATTGAACATACAACAAAAGGTAGCACAAAAAATGTTGGCGAATATTCTAGTACCTGGCAATGGGATTGTTTGTGTCTTTATCAAGCTAAAAAATGGGAACGTATTCAAGTCTAGGGTGGAGGGTTCATTTTATGTGGAAGTAAGGTTGTCAGAAGATTAACTTTAATACAATGCCAACCTGAATGAAATTGTAAGTAAATATGAAGCTGAAAGGTTATCAAGATTTTCTATCTGATTATCAGTTTTTAAAAGCAACTAGTAAGAAACCAGGGCTCTCTCTTTATTGTTTCTTTATGAATAGCTAGCTTGTCTATTACAACTCCCATTAGCAGCAACAAGCTGGGAAAAAGCCGTAACATGTTTGGGAAATGCGTAGGGTTTGTGCGGAAACTCCTCATTATAGCCTATAGAACCCACTGCCATTTTAAAACTTGGTGGAGGTTCTTCGTGGTCTGCTTTTGTGAAATAATCATATTGTAGTTAGGCCAGATTGAAAATCACATGTTGTCATTGAAGTAGTACAGAGCGTGAGTTGGCTACATATAGCTTGTGGTCAACAATTGAAGCTACTCAGGACAGCTGTGGCCTCTGTAAGTTTGAAACCAAACTCAATAAGACATTGAAAAGGTTACACTGAAAAGGTCTAAAAGTTAGTCCTTGGTGTACCATGTGATCTTCAGTGCAGCTGCAGATTGTGGCTTAAGTATTGCATAAATCAAACTCACTATCGAGATGATTCTGACTCACAATGACCCTAAAGAACAAAGTAGACCTGCCTTATAGGGCACTTCCTCATCTTTGGATTTCAACAGTTCTTGATTATATACACACAACACAATTAATATATATTTACTATAATGATCAATGATACTGAAAATAAGCTAAATTTAAATAGTCATTCCAGAAAAAGGCATTTGAGATTTACTGTAAACTTCAGTTTCTTTAGTTTGAAGTTGTATGTATTTCAGACTAAATCTGAACAGTAGTTCTTCCCTCTAGAATTAGTTTCTAATTAATTGGTAAAGGCTTGTATGTATCTCCTCAGAATGAATTGGGCCATTTATCCTTCTCCTGTAGTGGACATTGACTATGGGGAGAAGTAGCTCTGTGGGTGGACAGCAAAGCACTAACCAACCTGTCTCACCATCTGTCCAGGTGAATCTGTCTCTGTCATCAAGCATACAGACCCTGTCCCTGACCCACGGGCTGTCAACCAGGACAAGAAGAACATGCTCTTCTCTGTGAGTACTTGGCATATTTACCTGCCATTTCAGCAGTCACTGCCCACCTTCAGTGGTCAGGCCTTAAAGGGTCATGACTCTCTGTGGTTGGGCAAATACGGTGTTGTGTGACATCCTCATAGTTTTTTATTTGGCAAGTTTTTAAGGGGTGGAAAAAGGATCAGACCAAGTATCTTATAAACATACATTGTAAGCTATAGGGTCACTACAAGTAGTCAATTAACTCAATGGAAATAGGTTTGAGTTTGTGTAAAGAATGTTTTCAAAATCTGTGTGATGCCTACTGCTTTTATGTGGCTACCAGAAAAGGAAGGGTTGTTTAGAGAGAACAGATGTGGTCCAGTAATTTGCAGGCCTAGGTGAAAACCTGTGATAAGTTGAGTCCCTGAAAGTAGTTCATTAGAGTGGAAATGAAGCAGTATCACTGGAAATTTAAAATAGGGCATGACAAGAACGTCTTTTTCTTGATTTTGAACGGTGAGTGTGTGAATGGAGGTCCCCAGGTAGGGATGGAAGAGAATGCATAATACTGTGAAAATGGAAAAGGAATGCCTTGTATCACCCAATAAGTTGAGTTCCGACTCATATTGACCCTGTCTGTGATCTGTGGGATTTTCAAGGTTTCGAATATGAAACAGAATGCTACATCCTTCTCCCAAGGAGTGGCTGGTAGGTTCAAACTACCACCTTTTTGGTTAGCAGCAAATTGCTTTAACTATTGTGCTTCCTGCAGAGGTATTAGAATACTGCTAAAGCCTAAAGCTAGTCTGTTAGTGAAGCTCCATTAAGGAATTAAGAATGCCAGTGATTTCATGTAGTGAGAGATTTACTGGAGAGTAAGTAGGTATCTGTGTAGAATTGGAATGGGGAGAGAGACCATAAAGCCAGAGTGGCTTCTGAAGTCTGATCTCCACTTAGGGAAGTGGCATGTGTTTTGTGACTCGTTCTTTTGTGTTATTGTCCTAGGGCACCAACATTGCTGCTGGAAAAGCCATGGGCGTGGTGGTTGCAACAGGTGTGAACACTGAAATTGGCAAGATCCGAGATGAGATGGTAGCAACAGAGCAGGAGAGGACACCCCTTCAACAGAAACTAGATGAGTTTGGAGAACAACTGTCCAAAGTCATCTCCCTTATTTGCATTGCTGTCTGGATCATAAACATTGGACATTTCAATGACCCAGTCCATGGAGGCTCCTGGATCAGAGGTGCTATCTACTACTTCAAGATCGCAGTGGCTCTGGCTGTTGCAGCCATTCCCGAAGGTCTGCCAGCTGTCATCACCACTTGCCTTGCTCTTGGGACACGCAGAATGGCAAAGAAAAATGCCATTGTTCGAAGCCTTCCTTCTGTGGAAACTCTTGGTTGTACTTCTGTTATCTGCTCAGATAAGACTGGTACCCTTACAACAAACCAGATGTCAGTCTGCAGGGTAAGAAAGAGTCATATTAAGAATCTTTCTAAGTAATTTAATACATTTTGTGTGCTTTGAACAAATTCCATTTTTTGGTAGCCTGTAGCCCAAGAAAATTTCTATAAAATTACTTAATGAAATATAGGACGACTTCTTCTTATATGACTGTCATTTATATTAGGAATCAACAAACAGGTATTCCGGAAATGCCCATGGTTTTTCCATATAATTTAATTTCCCTGGTATGGTGCTATAGGACTAGCACTGTACTGCTAAACTACCAGATCGGTGGTTCAAAGTCACCATCCACTCCTTGTTATGTGCCGTGGAGTCGGTTCCGACTCACAAAGACCCTGTACGTGGTTATGAAGTTAGTGATGGTTTACAGATTTAACTATGGTATATTTAATCCATTCAATGTGATTATCGATAGGTATGATTTAATTGCTGTTATTTCTCTGTGGGGTTTCTGCCCTAAGTTCATTTCATTTGTGAACTTTTTTATTTTTCTTGTGTTAATATTTACTAAATCTTTTTTATTTTAATGTGAAGGTGTATTCATTTTCTTTTGAGGTTAACTTGTACTTTATTAGTTTTTTTTCTCCTTGTTTAAAACAGTGTTTTTTTCTTGAAATTTACTTAATTTGCTTGCCAGTTAGTCAGAGTGTAACTTTACAAGAGGTACACTCATACCAACAGTCAACAGGGACCAAAGCTTTAATTCTCCCCCCCCTCCCCCCCCACTAATGAGGGAACCATTTTAAAAGTAAAACTAGTTACAGGAGCATTAAAGGAACTGATTGGGTGTTTAGGTGACAGAATTGAAATTCTAAAGTTACCTTTGATACCAAGGGTACAAACCCGTAACTTAACGCATGAGCCATTAGTAAGTAGCAGAGTCAAACAAGGTTCCATTTTCATGGGAAAAAACAGTCACTTCTGAAGTGCCACTTCTGTAGGACAATGAAAGAGCCCAGGGCCCAAGTCATCCTTGTCGCCTTATTTTTATAAGGTTTTGGGCAGTTGTATCTCTGGAAATTAATTTGCTTTCAGTGTAATTAAATCTGAAACTATCCTGCTATTTTATAACGGTTACTCTTTTTAGTCTTTAAAAATTAGTTGATTTTTGAATGTTTTCTTTTGTTAAAGAAAAGGCTGGGATAGGTTGTGGTGGTCATCAGTATTCCAGGGAAGGCGTCCTGCAGCATGTTGCGTAACTGCCCTTGACTCAGGGATTCTGTCAGCAGCAGCAGCTGCTGCGTGCTTTCCTTGCTCACCACCCGAAATAAGTCAGGGTGGATTAGGATGCTACATTTTGGACTCTGAGCAGGCTTTAGAAAATACGTGGGGAAATTCCGTTGTTTTTGGTTCCATTTTCCACTTGACTTTTTAAAGCCCCCTCATACAGCAGAAGATCTCTTGGTGTGTTGTGAAGTACCGGCATGGTGTGTGTAATCGTCCAGCTGGCTTCGATGCCGCTTCATGCAGTTAGTTGTTTTCCCATGTGACGGCTCAAGGGTGGAGAAGTAAGGAAGGCCTCTAGAGGTCACGCTGGATTTGATCCTGGTGCTCTCCCACTTAATTGTGTGATCTTGAACGCATCGTGTAATCGTTCTTTGTGTCTTTTCAAAGCACATTCTGTGCCTTCTAGAGAATAGTGCTGAGGCTTTGAAGTGATGTTTTGATAACCCTGAGTCCTCCTAACCTGGATTTCCTGTAGGTTGTCCTTGGTCTTTGGTGCCACTGTTGCTTATGACTTAGCACATCAGTAGTGCTGTCACCCGCACTGTCAGGTCTAGAAGGAGGAAGACGACAACTTCTTCACTCAGTGACTTCCATTTAAATTGTTCTTTAGTGAGAATGCCTTTGCATTAAGCATATGCTTTCTGATTTAATGATGTATTTATTTATACCTTTGAATTGTTTCCTGTAGATGTTCATTCTGGACAAAGTTGAAAGTGATACTTGTTCTCTGAATGAGTTTACCATAACTGGATCGACATATGCACCTAGTGGAGACGTGTGAGTAACCCCCGTGGCCATCTAGAAAGCCCACTGGGAAGTATAGGTTAGCAGTATTACCCGCAAAGATGGCATTCTGAATATGACCCACCGATAACACAATTTGGATCTCTAATGTATTTATTGAAAAAGAAAAAGCTTACAAGCTGAAAAATGTCCTTTTCATTTTACTAAGCTACCTTAAAGCCCAAATTTTCAATTGGAGTTTTTGTATGTTCTCTACAATGCCAATGGTGGGAGGAACGTCGTAAGGATTTGAGGTCTTTTTCAATAGTGTTAGTTTTGTCAATTCTCCCCTTTACCATAAGGTTTTCAAGAGCTAGCACTTTTTTTTTTTTTTTTTTT